CCAAAAGGTATCCATTGCAATTGGAGAACGGGGAATCCCCAGTCTGCTCTATGTGTAAGTATCATATGGGGAATGAAGCTAGAACCTTCCCTTTTATGTAGATAAAGAAAGACCAAGCATTCCAGGTGTATACGTTTGGTCTTTATTCTATGTCTTAGAGTCCCTGGATGTCAAAGGGACTCTGGGCAAAGAGTTTGGGCAAGGAGATCAGAGATGCTATTTAAAAAAAAGGACAACAGTGGAAGTCCCTGTAGGAGCAATACAGGAAGCTGCTGGGGCTTGTCTAGGCTAGGCCCTGTGGATTCTGTTTGCTTAGATCTCAGATCAAAGATGTGCTAAGGGAAGCCCCTGGAAACCACAAGTGCTAACAAGTCATGGTGTGGGGGACTGGGCTCTCCAATCTGGCCTCCCATTGGAGCCCTGGGCTTGTAGGAAAAACCCTTCTGTGTAAATAAAGAAGGTGTTGGCCACACACCCCATTGTGGTTTTGTGTCATGGAGGCTGATTGGTCAGTAGGACACAGACAGGAATTCCAGGGGTCAAGACAAAATGAAAGATGACAGGAGGACCAGCCATCCACCACCTGACTGCAATGAGCAGAGTACAAACTTGTCTGTGAGACCAGCATTGCACCAAAGAGGGGAGGAGTCTCTCTCTCCAAAACTGACCAGTTTCAGACTTTATTTTGACTTTCAGTATTAATGTTCTTATTGTGTTAAGAAACATAAATAAGAGAAAGGCTTTTACTTCTTAATATATAACAACACCACCATCAACAACATATACTTACTCAGAGCTAACTATATGCTAGGCACTGCTCTAAGTTTTATATGTATTAATCATTTAAACCTCATAACTTTTGAGGTAGGGACTATCATTATCCTTTTTAACTGATGAGGAGGCCCAGGCACAGAGAACGTAAGCAACCTATCTGAAGTCATACAGCTCATAAGTGGCAGAGCTGGGATTCCAACCCAGGCAATCTGTGCTCTTAACCACTCAGTACTGCTGCTCTCACTCCAGTGGTGTGTATTGGTTAGGTTCTTCTGGAAGCAAGAAACAGTCTCCCACAAGCTACTTCAAGGAAAGGATTATTAAAGGATAGAAGTGGGGCTAAAAGAAAGAGATGGAAGCTCAGAAATCTAAAAATAGGCACCACGGTGCAGCCAGGCCTTTAGGAGGTTGGAAGTAGAGGTTCTCTAGGGCTTAAAGGCATCCTTGGCAGCAAGACGGAATTCAAGGCTCCCCACTCCAGAGTCCCTTCATGAACACCACTCAGTATATTTCAGGTGTCTGCTCCGTGTTCGTCTTATATACCCACTGGCTTTCTTTCCGTCAGCTCAATATCTTTTTTTCTCTCCTAGCTAAAGATGCCTCACATTTTTGTCTCACTCATCTCATGGCTCCCCCCACCTCAGAACCTTTCAGTTGTTCCTACTCCTAGCTGCCTGACCTCTTCACATTTTCAAGGTCATAATTCTGAGACAGAGAAAAACTGACTGGCTTAACTCATTTTTTTGAGCCAGCTCAGGTCGTAAGATGCTGGTCAGCCTATGGTTTGTCTTCTGTTGGGTCAGTTATCTACCTCTAGTCAAATCAGTTTGGACTGGGATGGGGATTGGAGTCACATGGTATAAAACATGATCATCTACAGTTGCCCTTTTAAGTGGTGCTGTGGGTGAGGCTGTTTTCTTAGAAGGTGCCTCCATGATAGGCATGTGTAGCTCAGGTCCTGTCCAAGAATCATCTCATCAGGCTAGGACTATTCTCTGTGCCCCAAGTCAGTCCCATTTCCTTGCCCTCCTAGAAATGCACATTTCCCGACTGCTTCTATCCAGTCCTGTAAGCCTGGACTTGGCTAGTCCACTGAGGACAACACCTGCAGCCAATGATTCGGACGTTGGTAAAGGAAGGAAGGGAAGGTACAGGAGTTAGCAGAACTGAGCTTCTATAAGCCTGCGATTCACTCACTTTGAGATCTGTGTGGGGCCCTTCCGTTCCTCCTCTCCACTTTCTTATCTGTGTGATGGGGCTTTTCAGTGCCTCCTACCAGCCTCACAGGCCAGGCCCTGTGGACAGGGTTGCCTGTCCACCCCAACAGTCATTCCAATAGCTCCATCTCCTCTTCCTTGCCGTATGACCTGCAGTTATGTTTGAATGCTAAGGAAAGCTGTCTCTTCATAGCCCTGGGGGACACATGTCCATGTTCAGGCCAACCATGGTTAATTCCATTCTCCTTGCCAGTGATGGTGTCAACTTGATAATGGACATAGGATGCTGCCTTGCCCAGTGTTATCAGCTGAAGGGGGAAGGGTTTCTGAGAAAGGTTCTTGTTTGATGAAAATTAATCCATGTGGAGAAACCACTCCCCTTTGGCTCTAGGGCCAGGGCCACATTGCAATCTCAGAAGGGAATAGGCTTGTTCTTTGGGACTCATGGGAAAGCATATTTTGTGCCAAGCTGGAACAGGTGGTTCTCATCCAAGTAGGTATACAAAATATATGAAGGTCTTTCATCAGGGATGATCTAGTGATTGAATTAGATACAAGTCATGTTGTCATGAGCAGAACTGTGTAATACTTTTTCTCTAAACTTTTTGCCTTATTATCATGGTAGGTGAAATTGGTCTAGTTTAATAGGAAGCGCCAAACTTTGGCCCCAATTCGGCACACAAATATTGACCCTGTTTTCTACTTCCTTTGCCCATTGAACTGAGGATCTCTCATCCCTACACATCGCCTCCTTAATATCCAGTGAGACACCTGGAGGCCTGGTTTACAATGGCAGCTTTTCTGTGGTCGGCCTGCCCTCTGCTGGTTAAGGAGATGGATTGCGGAGACCGCAACTTCTGGGAAGGGCCAACTTTCTGGAAAGAGGATGTGATCAGTAGACTGGATTTCCTTTGGGGTCATTCTAGGCCATTTATTCATCAAAAATAAGGCCTAGGTGGCGGTGACCCAACCTTTGAATAGGTGGTGGGAAGCCTCCTAATGAATAAAACTGCCTGGAATAGATGTTAAAAAATTGTCTGCCTGTTTGAGTTTCTTTATCCACACATGATGGAGAGATGAGAGAGAATTCATTAGTCTAGTGTTAAAAACAAAATT